ACACAGCGATAATTGTTATTTGTTTTATTCAATCTACCTTCACGTTTCGCAATGTTCACCGTAAACATTATTTCCATTTTTCGTTTGGGGATAAATAATTGTTTTTGCTTGCATCATTATGCAATCAATGAAAAATAAAAAAAAAAGTTCCGAACCACGTTACGTTGAAAGCAAACGATTATTGAACAGTTATTATTCATACACGAAATCAAAAATTTAAAAATCAAACATCCATTTATGTCAATCATTTTTTTTTCGCGTTTATACCGTTGATTTTTTAGGTTTTTTACGGCAAGATGAAAATTATTGTTATACTGCAGCGTTGTTCGCGGCTAAAAGTGAATAAAATAAAAAAATAAAAATAAACAGCCCGACCACACACTAATGACGATGTACATTTCACGTTCGTAACACGATAAAATGTACCGTAAAAATCAACCGATATGCTAGCCAGACACCGTAACCTTGTGTAGGCCGTACAGTAGCTCTGCAACATTATCATACGCACGTATTTTATACCCACTCACATGTTATTAAATGCGTTCCGCGAGTGATGCCGAGCTTCACGCGTATGCACATATAATGTTTTAGTTCTCATTTCCAATTATTGATTAATTTCCATAGGTAGGTATACATCACAAGTTTAAAATCCGTAACTACACGGTATAGAGGCTTCAATATTGAAAACCGACGGTGTGTGTTTTTAATGTAATATGTGCGCACGTCGCATGGCCTTAAAACGAACCATGAAACAATCTATGAAATGTATTATCTTTTATTTATGAAATATTAAATAATCTAATTAATCGTCTTGCAATTTTGCAGGCGATACGTTGGTTGGTTTTCACATTTTGATCGAGATCTAAATAAACCTTTTACTCGTATGAACCGTTCCACTCGCGACTACACGCATAGTTTTAATGGACCTATATGTCGTATGCTCCGAAGATGTAATGAAATCAATTTCGATTTCGATTTTGATGGTGAATCTAAACGCTTTAGCTTTTACGTCTTGATTTCAAATAGTAAACCACCAAATGTATAAAACATGGCTTTGAGTTATTAAGGAATTGTTAATCAATAAAACCATATAATTTTTTTTTTTTTTTTTAGAAAATACATATTACAGAAATAAGAAATCAATCATAATAATTGAATACTATTATAAGTATTACTACTATCAATATTATATATATTTAAACACTTTTTTTTTTTAAACACGCTACAAACTCAATTGGCGTTAGTAAACTATTATTATATCACGTAATAATAGTTATAAGCACACGTCATGCCGTGTTCGAAATGCATTCCTACTGTTCGCAATGATTCCGTTAGGCTTCCATGGTACCGTCTGCGCGGCCACGTATCAATAAACAATCTGACGATATTTTCGCGCGCACACGATCCCGGTGACTGAGACTTGACGACGTAGCACGACGTTTCCAAACGCTGCGTTACACTTTGACGTGGAGTTCTCAGTTTTTAGAAAATCGGTTTTCAGAACCAATCCGATACTGCGGTGTCCCGCGGAAAAATGTAACGAAATCGTGTATTGCGTCGGTTGGCACGTCTCGAAATTCCGGTCGATCTTAGAAAATTGCCGCACAGTTCTGAATGCAAAAACAGAAATCTAATAAACGCCAGCCGCCGGAGATAACTCGCGGTCCTCGCAGCGTATATACCAAACACGATTTCTGGGTCGCAACGGTTATTGTGCTCGTATTTATTGGACTGGCAAATCGAATCGGTTCCCGAGCAAATGACAAATTCATTTATTTCACTTCCGCGTAGTAATCATACACTCGCGACGGGGAATGCGTGCATCGCGTAATATTGTATTCGATTTTTGCTACGGCGACGGCACACACGGGGCGAAAACGCGTTTATTTTTATCGGTACCCAGTTTCGGGACACAACAGCGCGGATTTTTCACGTAAGCCAACGAAAACGTCATGTTTTCGCGGCACAGTCGGGGTATGCGTTCGCCTGCCTCCAGTCCTTAACGAAATAATAAATAATTAATACGTATCCGGAGATGAACGTTTTCGTTGTATCGTTGAACACTTTGTCGAGAAATTGTTTTTGTGCCTTCAACTGTTTAGTGGATTTTTTTTTTTTCCATTCGGCTGCAATGTAATAGTCATTGCATGTAATCCCGTTACAGAAAACATAAAAAAAAAAAAAGCAATCAAAATTCACTTGTGTAATATCACTCGGAGGATTTATACCGTTTACGTACGGATGTGTCTTTTTATTATTTTTTGATACGTCACGGACTTGTAAACTTTGCACGTACATCATGTTATAAACACAAAGGTCATTTACGAATATATGTTTATATTGTTTTATGAAAAAAAAAAAACCCCCGTCTAGGTTTGAATTTTCCTTCACGAATTATTTTACGGATATTATTGTGATGGATGATCCCGATGCGGAATCGCTAACTCATAAACGGAGTGTTATTGCTTCGGTCGTACCACACACGTGCGATACGCGTTCGACGGTGTTGAATTTTTGTAATATAATTCTTAACATTCAATCGCGTGTTCCCAGGAAATAAAATTACTTCCAATTTGTAACGTATAAAATTGCATTTTTACTAGTTTTTTCCCCGTCGCACAGTGGAGCCATCGACATCAAAGGCTGGAAAAAATAGCATTTATCGAATTGAATTATCCCATCGTAATATTATATATATCGTCGATACAGGAGTTCGTAATGCATTGGAAACTCGCTTTTTGTACGAGATACGGACTTAAATTGATTTAGTTACAGCGGCTGTAACATTAGTCCACCGTGCATCACAATATAATTTAATTTTAGCATTTTTATTATAACTTTGAGAATTTTACGTTTGCTAAACGTTCAATCAAATTAACACGGAACTGCTAACAAAAGGTCACTTTTGTCACTTTTTTTTTTCGTCATTTCATAATAACGATAAAAAATATTAATTTACTTCCTGGTTCGAGCAGGCTTTAATAATTGCAAAATCAAATAATCAATCAGTAATTTTTTACCTCGATGAAAAAAATGTTGCCCATATCTACCCCGTTTTGTGTTAATAATAGTTTCTGCCTGCGACAATGCATACTAATTTCACAGGAAAAAAAAATTATTTTGCATATAACCTTTATCCTTTTGTGTTCGGTCCAGTGTAGCACGAATAATTATACAAAGGTCCAATTATTATTATTTAAAGTACAATTTGTTAAAACCGTATTGTGCACTTACTATGGCGGCGGTCGTCCCCACGGCCCTTCATTTAATCGTTCACTCTACACAGTATTATGGGTACCCAAGTACGGGTGACCAGAGCCGTCCTAGGGATTTTTAGGGCTTGGGGTAAATTATTCGGAGACCCTTCAATCATAATAACAATATAAAAGTATGATAAAAAAATATACACTCCAAATTTGCAAAATGTTGGTAAATATAGTTTTCCAAACTTCAACCAATCAAGGTCATTTTAAATGTATCGATGTATTTACATTTCTAATAACTTTTCAACAATGAATTACCAGTCACCACTTTCTAATAAAAGTTAAATTTATTTCTAGATAATTTATAAACAGTCATAGAAATTATCACAGAAAGATTTTGTCGCAACGATACCCACGATAACGAACTTGTACGTACATTTGTATAAAATTATAAAGAAAAATATATGAATATTAATAATAATCTCTAACAGATAGCGCCGAATATTTCCAATCAATCTGGACTTTAAGGACGCCCCATTTAAATTGTTCTATACCGGGGCCAAAGACAAAATAGTCCTGTCGCTCACCCCCCCTCCCTGAGGACGGCTCTGCCGGTGACGAGTAACCGCGACGGTGTACTTACTAAGCATAATGACAATTGTGATCACTATTCAGTGCTGCGCACACGATGCGATACACGATATATCGTTGCCGTTCGTTTTTCCCGTCCGTTTACGATTGATTCGGAGGGACATGGCCGTGAGGTGTACGCGCGTGTTCATCAAATAAAAAAAAAAAAAAATGCCATTTTCAAAAGAAACGCACGGTCTTACGTTTATTTTTACCCGTGCGCAGACGGCGGGCGAAAAAAAAAAAGAACATGTCATTAATTTCAAATCTATATATAATGATAGAAATTATATTTGTTATATACGTAAGCGCGTGTTTGTGTTCTTAGGGCTCGCGCACACGCGCGCACGTGAACGTACACACACACACACGTGTATTGTACAGGGTCTTTTTTGAGTTTCGCAATGTTAAAAAAAAAAAACTCTGAGCACCATCAATCGTGAACAACTTACGGGAGACATGTTGTAAAAGTTACCGCATAATATATTATTGTTTTCTTTCCATTATTGAAAAGATGAATAACCGTCAACGATCCATCCAGTTTTCAAAGCGGTTCATCGAGCGTCTCGTCCGCGGAGGTTATTATTTTTTAATTCTTTCAAAATATTTTAACGGATAAATTAACCGTCACGTGAAAGACCCTGTATACACATACACGCGCGAACGCCAGCGCACACGAACACTAATACGAACACGCACACGCACACACACATGCACACACACATACACACACACGCACACACACACACACACACACACACACATATATACTTACACGCACATACACACACATGCACACACGTAGAACTAGCAAAGCACGCGACGACGTTATATGGTAATCGATTCGTACCTAATTCAAACTTATATAACTGTGAACGGCGAAAAACCAGCACAGCGGCGCCGGTATACGCACGGCGCGTTTGGGGTCGTTTCGCGTTTCGTGTCGGTTTTTTCTTTTCCATTTTCATTTTCTCGTCTACTGACTAATCATTATTTTACGTTATTATTATACACACACACACACACACACACACACATTACATAATGTAATACATGTATATTTATTCGCTTGTTCGTTATTATAATATGTTTTAGTAGTATTTTGTTTGCAACAGAAATCCGTGTACATACTTATTTAAATATTGTGTGTTTCTTTTTGCATTTCAGTTGTCGTGTTGGCTAACATATCGCTGTCCCGTCAGGAATGTTTTCCCCGTGAGTAACAAACAAAACATTTAAAATATTTTATCTTCTAACAATATATAACGTACACATACGTATAATACGTTTTACGATACGTCGACGGTACTTGGTATAAATTAATTAATATTTTTCGTATTTCGTTTACGGACGGTTTTTTTTTTTTTAAATTTATTTTAAATTGTGTCCGGTAAACAACTCGAATGGAAAAATACGTGATACGAAATAATGTGATATTATAATACACACACACATACACAAACACACACACACGAATTATTACTATATCGGCCCGAATGAAGGAAATTAGAATAATCGTTTTACTCGTTGTTATCATACCCGGAGTCGTCGGCACTAGTACGGAATGCTCGGCATATCAAGGTAGGTGTGTGACGTAGCTATTGCAATACCGACTTGTGTACACCTAAAAGTCTAATGTAACACAATAACGCTGTTTTCCGTACACCCGTAATATTATTAACTCCGTAACACACGTAACCGTCTAATAAAAAGTGTGAAGAAACGGGCCGTAGCCATTTTCCTCCGCGAGATACCGTTTTCAGTCCGTTTTTCCTCGTGTATGAACACAATACCACAGGTCAGGTTATTTATGCATATTTTTATCCTTCAAATCATTTCATTCATTTTATTTTTAATTTTTTTTCTTCTTCTTCTTCTTATCTTTACGCTTTGATATTTATTTCACACGCACTGTTAACATAGTTTTTCATTGATGATCAAGAAAAAGTGCGCGCATTTTACGTGCTTGGGAGGGGTTCGAATCGTTTAAAATTCTTATGATCGTGTTAAAAATGTGTTTAAATTTTTTTAGCGTTTCGTGTGTACAACGACACCGTATGTCGTAACGCGCGTAACTTCGATACTTTCGTACAACCTACTAGTTCTGATGTAGAATAAATAACGTATACGTTTTTTGTGTTTAATATTTTTTTTATATTAAATACTTCGCAAATCATAATTCGTGTAGAGATTTTCATTAATATCCAAGGGAACAACATAGAATAGTTACTAGTTGAACTAGTTTCGATATAAAATAGTTATTTAAAACTTATGCACGGCATATAAGAAAAATAATAATTTCTTAGATATTATTTACATTACATTTTAATAAATCTAGATAATTTTACATTTTCGGTATTACATGATGTGATTACAGTTTGATCGCGTTCAATTATATTTTGAATATTAATATTTTTTTAATTTTGATTAGCCCATTACTTCTTACAGTAGTATATATTTTGTACACTGATTTCTATAGCAGTATTTCAAAAAGTAGTTTTTTTTTTTTTTTTTTATTAAAGTATCTATTTCATGATAAGCTGGTGGTTTTGTGCGACCAATGTTTTATACAAAATTTCAAATTCGCACAATTTTAATCATATATTTTTTATATTATATTTAAATAAAAATGTAAAAATTTGATTGGGTTGGGGTTAGAAGTGTTTACTCGACACGTGAAACTGTTAAGTAAAAAAATAAATTTCATGCTGCTGCTGTGAAATTTTCATATAATAAACTTAAATAATCTTTGAGTACTAGATCGGCACTTGATTAGATATTATTTGATGATGAAAGAAAATCATGGTATCGCTTTTATGGAACAACATGGTCCTTGTCAAAAAAAACTGTATACTGTGACAAGTGCCGTTGCTCCTATTTTAGGGAACCGAGTAGAAAATATTACAAACATTATAATTATACAAAATATATTATATGTTTATCTTCAAAATATTAATCATACGGTTTTAATTATTTACGTATTATGTACGCCATCACGTCAAAGCGGTCGGATGGATATTTTTCCTTTTGCTTTAATTATTACCGCTCATCGAATACCTAACTAATATCGAATAACTAATATCAGTCCCCGCTTAAGATTATAATACTATAACAGTAGCAATCTGAATTTTTTAGATGAAGAAAATTGCAAATTCACAGTTTATTAACCTCGGACCAGTGAATATTTGTACATAAATGTTTGGTTTTAACCCTAGCACAGCTAGGGAATATGAGTGCCTTCAACGAGTAAATTAATAAAGTACAAGTATGAATTAAGTTATTTTGTTCATAAAATCGGTAGACACTGAACTGTTATTCGAAAACTAATTTCTTACTCGTATTTTAGTTTTTGATCTAAGTAAAATATAACCCGCTATCTATATTATTTTAAGTACGAAAATGAGCAAAACCAAAGCACTCCTTTGATCAAATGTTTAGTTACACGAATGGATTTGGTTAGTTTCATGTTTTTAATTCCGAGCGAGTGAGTCCAGTAATAACTCAATTTAACTTTTAATAACTCAAATAAAACAAACTATAAAGCTTCTTTCATTCAATTTAAACTTTGTATACCTTTTCGAAGACTTTAAATTATATTCGTTATGCTTGAAATTTAAAATAATAAATAATGATAAAAATAAAGAGGTCAAATAATTTTCAACGAACCATATTTGATTGTTATGACCTTCTTTTTAGTCTTAATAGTTTCGACTGTCATGAATAAATATCGGACGTACAACTGTACAACGTATGTACGTGTGTAGAAAAAGATAAACGTTTTAAATTATAGAAATTATTTTAGAATTCTGACAAAATCATTGTTTACGTTCTAACACTATTTAATACTAGTTTTCGTGTTACGAATACATTCGACAGCGCAATTTGAATAAAAGGACCATACATTTGTTTTTTGAACATTATTATAATATAATCTATTTAAATCTTAAAACCGTTCCATAAACAACAGTGCAATTTAATATTTGTTAAGGACACTGTAAAATTCAAACGTAATAGCAATATTTTTGTTTGTACTTATTTTGTTGATTCCGGTTATTATTATCTATACACATTTATTATTACCGACACACGTCGGTTTCGTTTCTGGTCGAATCCAGAGCGAATCCATACATGGTACACTCAAGACTTTTGACACTAATCCGTGAAACATAAGCTATTTTGAAACAAACAGATAATATAATATAAACCTCGAAATTCAGCACAAAATGCTGGTTTCGCCCGTCCCTGTGCTATACCAATAAAACCATGTTATACAGACAAGCAAATGTAAATTCTCGCACGAGATATAGCAGGTAAAAACCACCCTTGAATTCTACGTAAGTTCCTATACAAATAAAAATTATAACGAATACAAATATCCTTCTCACTTCATTTGGACTTAGGACTGACAACGTAGTTCAGTTATTTTGTAAAACAAAATACCTTTGTAAAATACCACCCGGGATAGTCGAATTGCACTTATTACCTACAAATAAATGGTCGAATTGCACTTGGATTGAAAAAAGGTAATGGTCGAACTGTACTCCAGTAAAAAGCAGGTAGTGGTCGAACTGCACTCTTTCAAAAAAAGAGTTATAATGGAAAACCCTCTAAAAATATTACGAATCTTTCTGTTGAAGAACGCTACAGCGTACTTATTTAATAACAATATATATTAGTTCGTGCCATTTAGATAAAGCAGATAAAATATTATATAATAATTAAAGGGTGGACCGATCCTAGAACCGATACTTGGTATCGGCCGATATTGGTGGTATCGGAAATATCGGGATCGGTTTATTTTCAAAACCGATATTTGAACCGATACCGCAAAAACTACTTGTGATTATAATATCGGGTATCGGTTTTATCGGTTTGTGATATCGGATTAATTTTAGTATCGGTTCATGGTTTTGCCAAAAAAGTTAATTTTTTTTATGTAATATATTAAAAATCAACTTAGTTTTTACTTGTGATTATAATATCGGGTATCGGTTTTATATCGGTTGTATATATCGGTATATCGGGTATCAGTAAAAAGTGGTATCGGCCCATCCTTAATAATAATAACATATATATTCAGAAGCGTATTACCAGGGTAGAATTTTTGAATACAGTTAGTCATTACTACAAAAAATCATCGAAATGACAAAAAAAAATTATAATAATGACAATAATTAAATTTGACGATTAAAAAAAAAATGTATACCAAATAATAATAATATGTATAATATAATATAATGTATAATGTAAATATATGTAATTAACATAATAATAATGTGATGTATAAAACAATAATTTTTAACCACGTTAATGATTACTAAATGGTAATAAATGTAACTAAATAAAATAAATCTAACCCCTTCAAATGCATAATCATTTTACTGAAATACTTTTTTGAGCCCAAGTGTAGTTCGACCACTACCTTCTTTTTACCCGAGTGCAGTTCGACCATTACCTTTTTTCAATCCAAGTGCAATTCGACCATACCCATACGACCGGTTTCCAATTAAAAATTCATCGTCAGGTATGTATAAAATCAATAAAATAGTGATTGAATATGAAAAAATAAAGAAAGGAATACATTGTGAAAAATTAGACCTTTTACATAAAGATAATTTACTTTAATAGAAGAAATTATTAAAAATGAATTCTTATTAAACATAGATATGCTTAAAAATATAAATATATTAGTTATTATTATTTATTATTATTTAAAAAGTATTCACATAAGATATTATTTTTAAAATAGGTTTTTACATTTAAAATATTATTAAAATTATATTTCTTCATTTCTTTATATATGTGTAATTCATCGAAAATTGAATTAATGTAAAGGTTATTTTAATTACATAATTTTTCTAAGTCTGCACTGATACCTCTTAAAATGTATATTAAGTTTATTTTTTATAACATGTTTTAGTAAAATTTGAATTAGGAACTGTCTTTTATTTCAGAAACGTGTTCTTTATACCTCGGTTTAATATTTATATTTGTCTTACCTACATAAAATGTATCACAATCAAAATTAAGTTTATATATACTAGCATTTTCAAAAAAAGGGAATTTTTTTTGTGAATTTTAAGTTCTATTATTTATATATTTGATTAAATATTATTGGTTTTAAAAGCGATTTATACATAAATAGTATTACTTTTAGAATTTTCGTTTTCGTCAGATATATTTGTGTTTTAATTTTTCTTTAATACTTTTATGGACTTTTTCAATAATATTTAAATTCAAATTATTTTTATGTGATATATTATATATAATATTGAGCTCGTATTGATAATTAAATTTATTTAATTGAATACGTTCAAGATAATTATAATCAGTGTAGAATTTAGAAAAGCACCCTATTATTTACGTACGTCCACGAACATAATATATATTATATTTGTTTCAACGTTTCTTTTAAAATTTATAATAATTATTATTGTACACTAAAAATTTGTTCACCTTTTCGCTAAACGTAAACCAAATTTAATTAATTTTAATAAATTTTCAACGTGAAATAATATTAATTCTATTAATAAAAAAAAGTACTGAATTAAAAAAAAAAAAAAAAAAGGGATTTATCATATCACGAGTAATGTGACGAATCACATTTGGATTACTGTCCAGAGTAATTATTACTAATAAAGATAAGTAAGTATTAAATAATGATGCGCTGCGTTTTCCATCATGGAATTGCACGTAGAAAATTACATATCGCATATTGGTGTACTTTTGTTCGTGTAGGAATTCACGTACCAGTGTATTTTTTTTTCACGTATGAAATCACATGTGTAGTCGTTTATCTACTAAGCTTCGCGTAGGAACTTCCTCCATACAGGCATCATGCGATTTGTCTTTGAATGCGCGCGTTATTCAAATATTATTTCCGCGAACACCAGGTGCAGGCCGCATGTGCAATGTACATTTAGAAAGAAAAAAAAAACCGATTGACCGTATAACGTTATGAGTTCGAAAAACATGTGAAATATTTCGATGCACACGTTTGAAAGGAACCGAAACGATGGTATTCAAACAATATCCAATAAAACGAAAAAAAAAAAAATAATAAAATATCCGGACGACGGAACACTAATGATAGGATAATCCACATATGCCGTTGGCGAACGAATATCACACCGTCATGATAGGTAATGATTTCTCGTCGATGGGGTGGGGAACTATTCGAAAATCGTGGCAGATATATTACTGTGCAAGAAAACCATACAACGTAAATGGTTCTCGTCGATTGGATTCCGTAGACTTGCAGTGGATATACCTATAGTATAGAAAAACATCAATACAGACTTAAGCTTCGCATGCTTTCGTCTGGTACGCGACAAATAACTATACGTCGACGTGCCCATCCAGTCGTACAACTCTTCCGCAATTCTATTAAAGGCTTTATATCGTATTGACCGTCATAACTCAAAAGCATTTCGTGTCGAGCTCTACGAAAAATAAATAATAATAATAACGCTATGAGACAAGTATTATTATTTTCAATGGAACGTCGGCACAAAACATTCTAGAAATATTAGAAAGGATTTTATACTTTTCACGTTTAAAATTCAGACTGGTAAAGCCGACATGTTAAAAAATAAGATAGTATAAGAGAAAAAAATAGACATTGAGGAAACAATTTTTGTGAACGTAATGTGTACTGTTCATATTTTTGTGCGATTTGTTGCATTACGAGAAGCGTGACTTGAAACTCTTAACTCTCGACTTAAAATTTTATTAAGTGCATTTGACGTATCAGTATTTTTTAGCAGAGTAAAAGGTTTAGCTTAATATTTCATAAACAATATTCGCTGGTCCCCATGTACATAATTTGCTAACCATAGGCGTGAACAGACCTCTTTTTTAGGCTATTCAAAAGACTGCCGCGACTCCCTCTCCAATCACCTCTGAAATTTATTTTAATCATTCAAAATTTTGGTGAAAATATAGCACAAATTACTAAAAAGCTGTTTAATTTAAAATCTTAATTTTTTCCTTAAAAAAAAAAGACTGAATAGCCATTTTTTGATTTTTATGATTTTCTTCATAATTAAAATTTTAAATAAATTATGAAAAAGAAAAAAATGAAATATATAAAACTTGAGTAAAAAATGTAAATAGTGTAAATAAACAAAAACATAGTTATGTACTTTAATAAAAAAACAAAATAATTGGAATGTATAACTGAATTTAAAAAAAACTCATGTAAATACCTTATAGAATATAAAAATGTAAACCCAGTAGTAAAAAACAAATGTAAGCTAATAACCTTGTTGTTGATGCTGAATAAAGGAGAACAAAATAAATAAATTAAATTGATAAACAATTACAATTGATCATAACAGAATTTGGCGTTCAGTTAAGATTTTAAAATCATCAATAACGTTTTTTGGATTTAAATTTGCAGCCAGTTCTTGCTCAGTTATTAAAAACATTAATTAAATAATTAATAACATTAATTATTAAAAACTATTCAATCCCTCTTGAACCATAGTACTTCTTAATCACGTTAACGCATTAAATCTGACTAAGCATATACCTTGATTCTAGCGCAATAAAAAAATCATATAGATAATATAAATATGTCATGATTTTTACTTATTTTTGATATTTTTAAAAACAAAGTTCTATGTTCAGGGTACGCAGCTGCGTACCCTACGTACCCCCTGCGCACGCCTATGGTGCTAACCGATAGATTTAATAATAATAATAATAATAATAATGGTGATGATGATACGGAGTAAATGCGTACGTCATACAATATGTTTATATATATATATATATGCTGCGTGTGTGATTGTGTTATCAAGTTTTTAAAAATAAAATCCAAAACATTCATTAATTATTTTTATGTTTATTATACAATAATCGAAATTTTCTTTCTGTTTTGCGATCTTCCGCCACCTTGTCTCTAGCTCGGTCCATTTACTGTTACGAGTGCGACAGCGCCAAGGACCCTCGGTGCAAGGACCCGTTCAACTACACGGCCATGCCTCAAGATCAACCGCCGCTGGTCAGCTGCAACGGGTGCTGCGTTAAAATGGTGCGCTACGTAAGAACGTGTAAGTATACGTACACGCGATACGATCATTGTTTATGATGTAAACTTATTTTACCAACAACCATAGTCACCTGTAAACCTGTAGGCCGTAATTGAATGCGATAATATGTAATCAGACTCGGTGACAGCTGCACGCCACGTCGGGTGATAATTAATTAAATTTAAGAAATGCGATAAGATAAACTTTCTATGTATCCCGGGTTTGTGCATGCATGACATAAAATATAATTTAATATTGTTATGTCGATTTGTCTTGTTATATGGCAACGGATTTCTCAAGAAATCGCACTCGACAGGCGATCCACGAGTTTCACGTTTCGCGCGAGGCCCTGGGCAAATGTCCCGTTTTGCCTCCACCTAATGCCGGCCCTGTCCGGTAAGAAATATACATGTCATTGAATGTAACGACGCAGGACGCAATCGCCCGCGTTGACGATATCGTTCTAACCGTTGACGTTTGTAAATGAGATTAAAAAAATACGCGTCGAAGCATCCGGGTAAAATGTAGACAACGATTATTATTTACGACGTTATTTTTTATCTATCTTCGGTGATACGAAAGCTTCGACGGCCGGAGCCGTCGATATTTCTGCGGGTAACAAATTTATTAAACTATTATAACCTAAATGGGGTTACATATTTATTTTCTTATATTCTAATGACTTCGTTGTTGTTGTTTCCGGCGTCTTATTACCATAGTTGACCATTTTAGGACACTTCTCCTACTATCCTTTGGAGGAAAAAAAAATCTCAACACATGGAGAAAGACACGAGTTATTGTTTCAAGCCAGTCTGGACAGTGTGAGTTCTGGAAATACATACCGAATACTTTCGTTCGATTTGTGTTTGAAATGACGTTCGTCAAAAAACAAAAAATATTTTTGACTCAGTTGTAATACATTAAGGTATCACTGATTAAACGTATCGGCTATCGAATTAAAACTAAACAAAAAAAAAAAAAAACATATTTGTCGACGTACGGCTTCATTTCGTCAACACGCAAAACTGTATCGAACAATATCGAAAGGATAACGGGAGATTAGTTTGTTTTAGTGGAATAACCTTGTTCGTGGTTCTTATCGGCTATACTAAGCTTGTTTAGGCTATACTGTACACGATTGCGTGTGAATCAGATGGTCTGCGTACATCGTTCGAAAGTTACATGGTAAATCCAACGTTGCCATTTTTAAACTGTTGTAGTTAGTGTCCTACGCTTTGGGAAAATATTACAAAACAAAAACATTTGATTACGACTACTGACGGTCTCTTTCGACGCTCATCCCCCATAATACGTGCCTACACCGTATGCAATATACGTACATATTTACGAATATGGTCGAAACGGCAATCCGAAGGCGTACTCTGACGCGCATCCCGTATCCTCGTGAATGCTCGTACGTAATGCATTTTGGAAAACTACCGAAGATGTGGTCTAAAATATGACCACTATGATGCCGACACGAGTCGTTCGAATCAGTGATGGGCTTAATGATCGAGTGTCGGCAACCTTTGATGTGAAACAAGACTAAAATCATATTACAATTTTTATAGCTACTTTTTTACTCATCCCAGGCCTTTTTATTTCGTCTTACCACTGACCCACTTCCTGATAAAGCATGATTTTACAAACGCGACATGCTTAATACAAAAATAAAAACTATTAAAACTATTTTAAACGATTTGAACTGCAAATGTAGTGTCTGTAAACAACTTGTGTAACTTTGTAGACAGTTTTAATTTTTCAAAAAATCATTATGTGTTTGTAAATATAGTCTCGTCGCAAAACAAACATCTTGAAACTACGGTTGATGTACGTCGAAGAAATATTTTTTTATAAATATTTAACGAGGATACAGTCGTTAGAAACATTGGGTAAAATAATAAATGGCCATATTTTAAAATAGTCCTACTCGTGTTTATATTTTCATCTCATTTCCAATGTATTTTTGGTTGAACGAAAAAAAACTAAGATGAAACAAACAATTTAATACTCACAGCAATTCAAAGTTAATCTTCATATTGAAAACCAACGAGTAACATTTTTTTTCTTCGTAATTACATTTACAGTAGCATATCAACGGGAACATTATTAGTCTTATTTGTAAATAAAAAAAAAAAAGTCTAAATCATTGGATACTTTACCGTTAATCGTATATCAAACATTTTTTTACAAATATATAGCAGAAAATATCTAAATAAAGAAAATTATTCTTTTTATTAAAACATTAGTATAACTACAAATCATTTTCAATAAATCATAATCTATTAATATTATTCGAAATAAAAAAACTATTTTAAAGATTTAAATTTCAATAACTTCAATGACTGCTAATATTCTATAATTTCATTAGTTTTTATAATTAATTACTCTTTTATTATTATCTATATATAATCCTTTTATAGACTACATAAATGTGTTGAATAATGTTTGAGAATTAATTTGACGTACACATTGACATTTTTTCGGTACATTTAAAACATAATTGTATTCGAAAAGCATTTACCTAATTTGGTATCACAAAAATAGAAACGTTGAACTGGCTGGCCAACGAAGATCATCGTTGTATCAATATAAATTATGTGATTTCATGCTAAGAATCTAACTATACCCAGAACTGAATAGACATGTTTTATTTTTCATGTATGTTAAATGAATGCATCACAGCCAAAATATGTATTTAGGAATAATATCAAAAACCATAACTGGGAGGAAATATAGGAAATGATTTCAGAACCCGTATATCTCTTATCAAATTTAAAACTTTCGATAAAATCTTATATCAGCCTACTAGTACATGAATACATTGATTAAATATATATATATTAATATATATAATGTATATTTAATATATGATGAATATATGTAGTATTGAGTTATAGAAAATTACTGTCTTTAGATTTAACTGTTATTCTTCTAACCAAATAATGACTTATTAGTCATTATAAAACAAGTTTTCCTTAAAAATTTTATTTCAAAAATCAAACGTCTAGGCCAACTGAATTTCGTGTTTAAAAGCATCAAATAATCTTTTCAAAAAATTATTTATATAAAAATGAAATTTACTTATTTCAATATTTTGAAGGCTCATATGAATACCCGAATTTGAAAAACTTTCGCGTAAAGAAAATAATTCCTAGACTTTGACCTCAGCATTGCAATATATTTTACAATTATATAATATTTAATTTAATTAATGTTGATTATATAATACCTATCATACATTAATTCATTACGTATGTACTCGTATACACCACATTTATTTTGGTTACATTATTTGCTTTATACTCTATTATATGTGTTATTATGCACAAAAAAAAATGTACAGATAATTTTTTTTAATCAAAAGTTAGCCAACGAAGATACTCGATTTATATTTTTATTATAATACTTATACTTCAATAAATCAGGGTTCCGGTGGAGGAAAATAATGAATTCATCAATAATTTCGAGTGATGAAAGAATTAAACAAGACTAATATTGAGTAGATTTTGTATCTTCGTTTTGCCTAACGCATTTCAATTTATTTCGTTTTTAATTTTACCACAGTGAAATTCTACTGCGGCAATGTGACTTTCGATCATTAAGTATTAATTATAATATTACAAAAGTACTTACCATTTTTCATCGGTTCAAAACACTTTTGAAATACCTATAGGTTATTATTAATTAATTATAATTAATTCTTTATTTTATTTAGTTCTCATTTTAATCCGAACACCAACTGTTTTTGAAAACAAATAAGTATTTAGTAGCAGTATTATTGATGTTTTACCTTTGAATTCATATAGTATTATTTATTTTCATTTGATATTTATGTTCTAAATGAGCTTATTGTACGTATTCAAATAATACATCAAATAAATTATAAAACACATAATACAGCTAGTATACAGTATAAAAGGCTTAAAATGCAGTGGTATCGTGACCTACTCATATGATTATATATTAAAAAATTTAATTAAAATAAAATATATAAATGTAAACGTGAGATATAATAATAATCTTGTTGAAGTACCTCCAATGGAGACTCCTTCATTCTGTTTTCTGTATATATAAGTTGTTTATAATAAAAATAAGTAATTAATTAATTTAATTTTAATTTTTCTGTTCCTTAAAACCATAATAGTATTTAATATTGTCAATAATTATTAAATAAAAAAAATTTGTCACCAAAATTATGAAGATATATTTTTATTTATTTTTTTTTTTTTTTTTTTTTTTGTTTCGTTTTGACTAGAAAAATATATGTTCACCTTACCCTAAAATATGAAACTCAATAATCAGCTAGAGACCAGGAACAGTTATAAACAAAAACAACATATTTTGTCAAAATTATTTGTTTTCATACTGTTCGTTAAGTCCAAAAGCCCGTGCCAAACATCAGGGTTTAACTGTTTGAAAAAAAAATGTGCAATAGTCGTAATCTTTTTTTTTTTTGTATAAACGTTGACAAGTAACTGTGATGTGTGCTACTCATGTTTTCAATCGGATTATTTTCTGTTTTCCTCATCCTACTGTTTATTATGTATATAATCATTCTATTTATATGGTAGATTGATATTTGTCTGAATTAAAAAAAATAAATAAAAAAATATAGTACAACCACCACGGTGAATTTTAATCCAAGTCTGCGTTTGGCACACTTCATTAAAAAAAGTTTATCCATCTCTGTGTTATAAATTTATAAAACATATCTATGCACGAGCAGAGGAAAAAAAACAATTAAAATCTATTTTTGAAAACAGCGATATCGTTTAATTATGTGATCGTTTTGAACAAGCGATTCCTGTGCTGTGCATAACATGCAACGCTTGGCTCTTTTTTTAATTACTATTATTCATTATCATAACTTTTTTGATCAAAGACTAAATGTTGACCCAGACAGTTATGTATATATTTTTTCATACGCATGGTATCAAACAATAATTAAAGTATGGCATTTGAATGTATTTTTTTAAGATAATTTTTTTTTAAAAAAAAGATTCCGTTTTCAAGGCGTA